AAAGCCCAAGAGAGCAGGGAAGTGAACAGGCTATAGGTTTGGCTCTCCAAGCACAGGCATTCTCAGGGACTGGCTAACCCAGCCCGAAACCTTTGTTTTCAACATTTGAACTCACCCATGCAGAATTATCCTTTGCAATCAAAACCGATTTCTTTCAGAAAAATGGTGCTTGTGTCAGTTGTAAAGTGTTTTGGAACAGGGTCCCAGTGTAGTTCTGCCTGCAGCTGTGTCTGTAGGAGGGCTGCACTGCCCTGTCTGGCTCAGAGCTGCTTTCTAACGCTGCTGATTTATAAGACATCGTTATGAGTAACTAGCATAAGCTCAGGCCGAAACACACAGCTCACGTGTCTGTTCCACAGCATGACACCCTAAATCAAGTCCTTTGTGCATGTGAAAGGTGCAGTGTGTTCCTCCTCTGTGAGTTTCTGAGATCATCCCCCACTACCTTGCTCTAAAACCCTCTTGATAATTTCTATGTTGCTCGTTCTTGTTTATTTAATCACAGAATCATAGAATCAACCAGGTTGGAAGAGACCTCCAAGATCATCAAGTCCACCCCTACTGTGGTCACTAGCCCATGGCACTAAGTGCCACATCCAGTCTCAGCTTGAAAACCTCCAGGGATGGCGAATCCACCACCTCCCTGGGCAGCACATTCCAATGCCAAGTAGTGATACTCCAATAAAACCTAAATAAACTAGGAAGAAGTTTTAAAAAACTTCATGGTAAAGACAGAGTGAGATACATGGCCCAGAGAACTAAATAAGTAAAAACCCACCAACCCAAAAAAGCCTTGAAGATTTGAGACCTCATCTTAGAAATCTGGGAGGTCCTTGAATGAAACTGCATCACCATGCTCCAAACTCTCAATATTCAGCACCTAGAATTAGTAAGCAAGCAGAGACACCAAAGCTTCCCAGTGCCCAACATGGGCAGTGTACAGCCCCAAGCCCATGCAGTCCCTGGAGCAGCTCCTCCTTACACTTGGCCCCAGTGTCTTGGAAGTGCTGTGGTAACTGTGGGTTTGGAGGAAGGTACTGATGAGTGAGAGCTGAGCAAGCCAAATCGGAGCCTGGTTAATGTTCTTGTTTGATTCAGCTGCAGCAACGTGCAAGGAACTGGAAATTTGAGGTTTGTACCTGAGGGACTCTAAATGAGAATAACTGGTGGTAAGGGCAGTTCAGTAAAGCCAAGTATTTATCTGATAAACAAGGTTCTTCCAGAAGTGTATGAAGGTTACATTGTCCCTTCTGATTCCTGAACCCTTGTCATAAATGCATTAAATGTGGCAGATCTTACATTACTGTCATGATCCTAGAAAACAGTCATTGCTCAACTGCCTTATGGGATTTTGTTCTGGCTCTTACATAAACTTTTGGAAAAATAAATACAACCAAGTGCCTGATTTTCTAAGGTGCAACATATCTTAGGACAATTAAGTACCTATTAACAGTTGTCTGTAAAGGAAGTTAGATGCCTGAAGTAATTTACTGACTTAAAGAAAAAATAATCTGTATTCATTTTGATACTTGGCTATTTTAGGCTGTTTCTTATTTCCTGATTACTGTGTTAACCCAAATGTATGAACATTTAACTTATTCTGAAATACCATTTACTGCATCTTGCCATGAGCTTGCTTTTCCAACTGCAGGCATCAAATAATCTGTGCAGTGTCTCAGTCTGCCACATCAAGAGGACTGAAAAACTAATGTGTTGGTGGTGATGGAGAGTGTCACAGTGAGCTGGATGTACTGTTTGAAGCAAAGGTAAAGAATAAGCTGAATTTCTCAGGTGTGTGCTCTGATTCAGCAGAGTGGTGGTGGACAGGGCTGAAATAATTTGATCTGCTATCGAACTGCACTGAGGGTCAGTTGTGTAACAAGGACTTTTCCAAGTGCCAGGCTGTAATTCCCAGATGTTGGTCTGTGAGGTGATCTGACCACCAGAAGAATGGGTGATGTTCACAGCCCAGGCAGCTTCTACAGAGCAGTGTCCCCCCAAAAGCTTCAGAGCCTGATCCTCTCGTGATGTGGTGGAAAAGAAGACTCTCCTATTACTGTTTGCTATACTGTAGGTGTGGATGAAAAGACAACCTGAGCCTTTAGGGCTGGCAATAACACCACTTTTATTAAGTTTCTATTGAAGGACTCTTTTGAGTTAGATAAATTGATGGACTGAACACAATAACCTTTAGTATCTCACTTTCAAATCCTTACTAGGCAAGCACTACTGAATAAGAGAAGAAAGCTAAGATGCAGAATAAAAGGTTACTTGGCAACATCATAGTGTTTGTAAAGAAGAGAAGGAAGGGTCAGGAACTTAATGAATTTCGATTATAGAATTTTGTGTAAGGAAGTCATTGCATGAATAGAAAAATCCTAAACCAGATTTCGGTGTCATACTCTAATAGGGATTGCCTCGAGCAAAACAGGGTTTGTTTGGAAGCAAAGTGCAGAGAATAGCAAAAGCATTGCTGATGTGCACAAACAAAATTGGACTCCCCAGGGGCAGGCAGTGCTCACGCAGAGACAATCTGAACTAGGTGTGTAGTGGTGATGGAAGTTGGTGTTGGTTTTTTGTGCTGTCTGGAGTAAACACACCTGGAAGTGTGGAGCTGTGGATTCAGAGCCCTCCATGCTCACTGTGTGGCATACTATGACAAGAGTTGTGGCCTACCTGCAGAAACTGGAAGGGAGACACCAAATGCAAAAGCATGAGGGTGCATGAGCATAATTGCATTTCTGCTCATCTTGCCAGTGCAATTTCAGTGAGTGAATGAATTTTCCCCTGTATTAATAACCTAATTTCAGACCCTTGCAGAGAAGAAAAATCCATTGATTGTTGGAGTTGAGATTTTTGTCATGGGTTTCTAGAGTGGTAACCAGTTGCATGGCTCAGATCATTGTTCCTGGGGCTTTGAGTGGAGATGCAATACCAAAAGCAGAAAATCAGTTGTCTACCAAACTTCCCACCTAGTCCAGCCTGCAGTAAATCTGTTCTTAAAGTAAACAGCATCTTGTAGAACCTGAATTTTTCAAATTAATGCAGTGGACCATGGCAACCAGTTGTGGTACTGTTGTGGTAAAATTCAGCTTGATTTGAAAGATTTAATTATGGTACCTAGGCAAATGTAGTCTAACAAATAATATCTCTCCCTGCCCCTTCCCCACTCATATTTTAGCTGTTAATATTCTAAAAATATTATATTGTAGAATAAATTTTAACCAATTAAAGTTAAATTCTAACTCGGTAAAATATTGTTAGTAAGTGCATTTGTGGTGGACATTTTTTCCACTGGAGACCAAGACATATCCATATGGAGTTTGGTTTCTGGAACTACTCAAATCTCCCCAGAGCAGGGAACTGAATTGCACCCTGAAGGATACTTTTGGTCTTCTGCATGTACAGAGGGAGCTGAAGTTAAAGGCACTGGTCGAAGTTTTCACACAGTTCAGTGTATAGTAAATACTAAATACTAATTCAGTTTACAGTTCAGCAAACGAAAATAATACTTCCAAAGTCTGTATTTTCTTAGGGTTTGTGCTTTGTTTTCTGTTACTGAACATACCTCTCATTACAACTGTGGGGACTTAAGAAAAACAGATTCACAGCTAATTGTTTTTCTTTTCAGTGTGGAGAGCAAAACTAATAAAACCTGTTTAATTTTCTTTTTACTTTCAGGCACCGATTTTCCAATGCCTGTTGTGCCAGTTTCTCCCAGTCAGTCTCAGAACAGCCTTATTTTGAATGCTTTAAAATACTTTGAGCTTGGTTTCACTGCTCTGATAATCTGAGACCTAAGTGGACTATTATTCTGACATAACTCCTAAATACCTCAAAATTTCTAGCTGAAGCTAAGCTCTAACCATGATCAAAGTGGCACATCAATGGAATGAGCTGAAGTTTTGTGGAATTGGGATGGGGTTTTCTGTGGCACTAATCCAGATGCTGTGCTATTCAAGTGTTAAGTTGAGCAAATCAAATTAGGGTAACTCTGCAGAGAAATAACTGCTATTCCAAAGTCAGCAATGGGTTGCCTTTTGTATTTTAAGTTATTCTGTTACAAATGAGATCTTCTAAGCACTATGTATGCATTGCATAAAACATTTCTCTTACCTATTTTTTTCTCTATTCTGCTTTAAAAAAAGATGTCAAAACTCACACCAAAAATAAACAAAAGACCAAAATTCTGTAATGGGTCACATGTAGTTGATGAGATCAAATTACCAAATGTAGCTTGCAAATAACTAATGAAATTAAAATTTTAACATCATTGGCTATAGAAACCCCCACACACATTTTATTTATGGCTGCTTAGTGCTCTAGCACATCAGTTCCTGACTTTATAGATCGTGGAGAGACGAGCTTTAGGATTTTGTGTGGGGCTGAGAAATTGTCATTAGACTCAGTTCTGCAATTTCCAGGCTTCATCAAAGCACTCCTGGATGTACCTGAT